CAAACCACTATTTGAAAGAAAGTCTTACAAAAACTATGGAAGAATTCGACAAAAAGTATTGTAACAAGCTTGTAAATACGGCGATGATAAGAATTTTGCAAAGTCGACCTATAAAATTAAAACCAAGGGTCTTTACAAGGAAGACTTTCCATCCTAATGAAAGAGATTTTTGCAAGAATTTTACGAACCCATTATTGGAAGAGAATTTACAAAATATTGGTAAAAAGGAGGACCAGAGAGCGGACAGTACGGAGAACGGGTGACGTGTGGTCCCCCCGCGCGGGGTCGTGAAAACCCTTGGTGACGGTAATTTCTTTTTAAAAATTAGTCACCCTTGGCAGTCCGGAAATTCCATAAGTCTCTTTATGGGACCTTTGTGAGCCTATTTTGTTTCTTTTTAGATAAATTTAATATATTTTTTCTTAATATATTTTACTTATTTACTCTTACCAATAGACACAAGCCAACTAGACATTATAGTGTCACAATGCAACTAAACAAAAAGGAAGAGCCCTGGTACGTTGATGCGTAAAGTCACCAAAACACAATCTTTTCTTTCGTTGGTTAGTCCCTACGACCAAGACCGCCGCCCCCCACACACACACAGATGTCTTCGGGGTCAACACTATCTGTGCCAAGGCGGTGACGTAAAATATTTTGTGAAAGACCAGTAGAGTCCGTTTGTAAAAGTCTTACAAAGAACCTCTTACAAGGAAGTAAACAATAGTACATTGTAACTCCCTGCAAACATATTTCTTTGTAGCAATTACACAATGGGTTGTTGCAGGTTTTGTGTAAGAATCTTACAAACGTCGATTTTGCAAGGTGGGAAACAATTGTATAAGTGTAATTTCCTTGCTAAAATATTTTTTTGCCACAGACAGTAGAGTCCGGAGTTTTTGAGGAAGTTTTGTAGGAGACTTACAACGTCAATTTTGCAATACAGAATCAATTGGAATATTGGAATATCCTTGTAATAAACTTTTTTATTTGTAGAGTCTAATTTTTGCAAAAGAAAATTTTGGAAATAATCTTGGACATCATTGCCAATCGGGTTTCAACACTCTTGCAAGGGGCGATCGACCCCACAGGACAAGCCGATCCTCTGCATTTCTCTATCACGATTATATGTTCCTGCCGGGTTTAAGTTTTAACACACACACACGTATGCATTTCTTCTATCAATAGATATTTCCTGCGAGTTAACTGTGCACTGGAAGCGGGGGTTTTTGATTTACTTGATTGCATTTCCAATACTGACAGTAGGTTGTAGGTTAGGTCTTCTGAACTTTCTAATTAGTGCCCCAAACAATTGCCCCTGACATCAGGGCGTTTGCTATTCGACCCCTAATTCCCATCACATCACAGAAGCCGCAATCGTAGGATTTCTGCGAGTGATGGTATTAGTCGATAGCAAAGCCTGATGTATAGCGCTACTTGTTGGGTACTAAGAAGTTCCGTGCACGTAACTGCGATACTGTACAGTATTGAGTGGCTCGAATCTGGTATCGACTCCTAGAACCCACTCTAGTCGCACAGTACTCGCAGCGACATATCTAGTGGATACTACGATGCTTTACGTAGTGTATATCGGATCAGACTAACCAGGCAGAGAAATATATGTGCTAGAGAAGTGCAGAGGGATCGCTGTCCCTGTGGGTCGGTCCCCTTTCTCAGACTGCTGAATACCGATTCAATGATGTTCCAAGTATTATTCAAAATTTCTTTGTATTAATTAGACTCTACAATAACACCCTAATTTACTTTCAAAGACTATCAAATTCCAATTGATTCTGTATTGTGTAATATTGACGTTTGTAAAATTTCTCCTGACAAAAGTCTACTAAGAACTCCCGAGGACTCTACTGTCTTGCAAATAAATTTTACACGGAGTGTACACTGTACATTGTTTCCAGTCTTGCAAATACTGCTACGTTTTATGATTCTTATAGCAAAAACCTGGCAACATAACTCATTGTGTATTCTTCTACAAGAAATATTCTTGCATGGTGATGTTACAATGTACTAGTTCTTGTCTACTTCGTTTGTATGCACGCACACGTCTGTAAAGACTTTGCATATGGTGTCTACTTCTTATCGTCAAACGAATATTTAGCAGACCCACCGCTGCCTAGTTGTGTTGACCCTTTTAGACCACTATCTCTTGTGTGCGCGTCTTTGTTAGACTAACAAAGATACAACACAGATGTTGTGTTTTAGGTGACTTTACCGCATACGTTACCAGGCTCGTCGCATTTTGTTTAGTTCCATGTCGTGACACTATTCTCGTCTAGCTTCTTTCGCCTGTTCTTGTCGTGTAAGATCAGTTAAATTATGTAACTATACACACTTTCTAAAAGTAAACAATACCGCTCGCAAACTGGACCATAACGACGCACGGTATTGCTCTGACTGCTAGGCTGTTGGGGCGCAAAAAGCCTCAAATCAACTTGGGTTGAGGTTCTCTGACCACATTTTTTTCATTTGTACCACTTACCATAGATCATAAGTCCCGCCTACTCTGTTGACTGTAAAGGTGGGTGACGGTCAATCAACCCATATACATCCTGAGCCATACTATCTGAGCATACTACCTGAGCCCTCACCATGGAACACGATGATGTCATAACTCCAACTGACATGCTCCGAACGCCGCCAAGCGTCACATGATGGTTAACACTGCGGCCCTGGACAGCTCTACGTTAAATCTGAGGTTTCATGATGTGGCGTTACCATAGCAACGCATCCCTCGCAATAAAACACAATATCGCTTTAACTGCAATGGACACGGTCCGATCGCCATCAAACTTCACATGTAGACCACCGGTCTATGCCTCAACAGCTCTACGCCAAATCGGAAAAAACATTTTCGAAACGCCACCAGACTTCAGATTATCATTAACACTCCGGCCCTGAACAGCTCTACACCGATTATTGGGTGTAGTCATATGTCGTTTCCTTGGAAACGCATCCCTCGCCATAAAAAACAGCAGGTGTAACATACGGGGAATTAACAGAGAGGGTTGATGAAGCTTGAAGCTGATGCCTACCGGCTACTTTCACTGGATATGTCATTAAACACCCAGCATACAGATATGAAGTGGCTTTTCTCCAGCACCAACTTCAGGCAAAACGTTCGAATAGCAAAGTCGTACGTCAAACTTTCATTGTGTATGATTTTCTGATGTTTATAGAGCATTACATGTGCTATAAACTCAAATTAAAGCCAAACACAGTTGATTCTCAGACTTGCGGTTCCTAATGTATTTTGGCCACAATTATCTGCACATAAAGTCAGTCTGTCGTGGTCTGGGATAAAATTACAGCTCCAAATTGAAAGGGCTGAGAGAAAAACAACAGTGTACTGTGTGAAAGCAGCAGAGATGTATTACACTGCGCCGTAATGTACCATTAAATCAAACATGAAGCTGTTACTGAGCCCTGCTACTTGGCCAGTCACTGTTACTCACATCCGTTAGCTGTTTAGCTGAATTGACTGCATCAGGTTGATGTTATATGTGATCCATGACAGCCTCATATTATCCAATCACTCCTGCTCGTCCATCATGCCCTCATACGCAGCTGAGAGGCTCCCGTTACAAACCACCAGAGACCCTCCTCCATGGCCAAAATCAAACCCAAGCTTCTTGGCTGCTAATCATTCATAGCATGGGCTACGTTGAATGTATGACACTAAGCTGAAGCTTCACGAATTAAACTGGCAAAGAGTTTAAGAATCTACCTCCAGCGAAATGTAGGAAACTAAAACAAGTGGAGAATGCAGATGTGGATGTTCTCAGGCCTGACTCTTATAATCCCCGAACGTCACCAAGCGCTCCGGTCCCTGCTGTGTGCGTCACTTTTTAGTGTCCCCTTGTCTCCCAGCTGTGTGCATCACTTTTTAGTGTCCCCTTGTCTCCCAGCTGTGTGCATCACTCTTTAGTGTCCCCTTGTCTCCAGCTGTGTGTGTCACTCTTTAGTGTCCCCTGGTCTCCCAGCTGTGTGCGTCACTCTTTAGTGTCCCCTGGTCTCCCAGCTGTGTGCGTCACTCTTTAGTGTCCCCTGGTCTCCCAGCTGTGTGCATCACTATTTAGTGTCCCCTAGTTTCCCAGCTGTGTGCATCACTATTTAGTGTCCCCTGGTTTCCCAGCTGTGTGTGTCACTCTTTAGTGTCCCCTGTTCTCCCAGCTGTGTGCGTCACTTTTTA